CGCTTCCAATAGCGGGGAACTTGTTGAGTTGAGATCCGACGCAACCGGTAGGCCAAGCAACCAATGCCTTCCGATTGACGATGAACACTTGAGGACAAGTTACTAGGTAGGGCAAAGCTGGCCAATATATTATCCAGTCTTAACCGCTACATTAGTTCCTATGTCCTTACCGTCTACGCGCTTGAGGGGCCAAAAGTATCCCCGGTTCTTGGCGAAGGCGGACACTTGTGTGGCCTAGAGCAAATTCGAGTTTGTTTACTTTTATCCCTATGTATCCTAACCCATCCTCAGCTGCTTTCCTTCGATTGCTTGTAATCTGGATACATACCTTATCTTGGGATCGGCGATCGACGATCACGATCGGCTCGATCGAAGATCACGAGCGGACCTCAATCGAGTACCTTGGTCCCTCCTTGATCGGTCCTTGGGCAGCCCTTGAACGGTCCTTGGTCGGCTGTCCTGATCTCATCCCGATCGGCCTCGATCTAGGACGGTGGCTTGCGCTCACTATGTGATGCATTGACTTGGACTCTCGGCTTGCCGCTCGCCGTCGTCGAGGAGCGATCTTCGCTCCTGCCGCTCGTCTTGGGACGGGGCTAGCTGCCTCTTGGTGTTCTCATCTCCCAGGGTTCAGGATCACCACCGGATCTTCCACGTGTCTTGATCGGCGACTGGGGAGATCCCCAGCGTAGCGGATCCCCTCGATCCTGGCCCGCCGCCACATCATCGTTCAGGATCGACTCTCGACGATGGCCTCGTCCTACGGGTCGGCTCGATCTGACCCCCGCGCGAAATAACAGGGGTGGATCGCCACCCATCACCCTGTCGGGTCGACCTTGGGTCATCTTCAGTCGATCTTGGGTCATCCGTAGTCTCCATCACTCACTGGCCTTGTCGCACGCCTGATCTTGGGAAATCGTCTCGATGTCTTGGCTCAGAGTGGGATCGCTGTCGTCTGGTCCGTCTCTTTCTCGCGATCTGGCAGCCGAGGTTGCTCTTCTCTTGAGATTTCGATCGCACTTTACCACATCCGCCCTCAGCCTGAAAGTTGGACCGCCAGGGTTCACTTCAGGTCTCATTCCGCAATCTCCCGACTCGAGCGTACTCCTTCTCCCCCCGCCAGCCACGATCACCATGAGCCAACCCGGCAGCGACTCCGGCAGCGCTCCGATCCCAACACCTCCTGACTCGCCATAGTCTACCGCCAGCCACCAGTCGCGACATTCTACAATCTCGCGTCACTCTCACTCCCAGGCCTCAGATCGAGATCGACGGTTGGCTACGTTGGAGAGCGAACTGCGCCATAGCCACCTTACGCGGGATCGGTTCGTCCGAGATCGGAATCATCTTGATCTGCAAGTTCATCAGCTGCGATCCAGTATTCGGGACATGGAGGCGTTCCAGCACGGCCAACGAGACGAGATCACCCGGCTAGAGGCCGAGATCTCGACTCTCACGCACTCTATGGGTGATGATCCGGAAGATCTCCACGCCCAAGTTCTCCAACTGCGCACCGAGCGAAACGACTTCGAGCGTCACGCCGTATCTGCCCGTGAAGACCTCCACAACGCCGAGACTGACCGTAATCGTCTACGACTGGAGGCCGCTCAAGCCGGAGACGAGATCCGGGGCCTGTAGGCGCAAATCAGCAGCCTCGAGCGCGAGACCGATGACGCGAGGTTGGAATCTGCAACCGCTCTCGCTAGCTATAACCGGATCTCCTCCAGTCTCACTCCCGCATCCTCGGATCGCGGGAGAGACCCATCCCCGGGTCGCTCCGCTCGTCTCACCCAGACTCAGCGTGATCGGGCCTTAGCGGACCTGGCGCTTGCCCAGGCTAACTTGACGCAAGCTGCCTCTGATCGCGATCGAGCACTCAGGGAGCTTACCCAAGCCACCGACGATAGAGATCGGGCGCTCAGCGATCGTGATTCGGCTCTCCGTCTCCGCGATCAGGCTGTTACAGATCGAGATCAGATTCGCTTGGAACTCCTCACCGAGACCACTCGCACGGCCCAACTCGACGGCGATCTCGAGGTGGTTCGACAGGAGCTTCAGGAGAGGGAGATGGAATTTTTGGATCTCCAGGGCGCCCACGACCAGCTCACGGTGTTACGAGATCTGGCCGAGAGCGATCTCAACGAGGCCGATCTCTTTCTCACTCATCTCTCCAGCCGAATCCGCGAAAGCCAGGCGACTAGGATGCCGAAGCGCGAGCGAAGTCCGCCTACTTCTCCACCCCAACTGCCCCCTTCCAAGACGCCCCGCGGTGATCGTCCGCTTTCTCCACCGCCTGACCAAGATCAGCCAGAGATCGGGGGTCGTGGCGGCCAAGAACATCCAGATCCGCATGAGATCGAGGGTCGTGGCGGCCAAGAACATCCAGATCAGCATGAGATCGAGGATCAAGGCGACCAAGAGACCCCCGATCAACACGAGTTTGGGGGCCAAGATGATCAGGATCTCGAGGATAAGCGTGAGATCACGAGCGGAGGAGGAGGCAGCCCTGGTGATCACGACCCCCCTCCTCCGGATCACGGTCCTACTACGCCTCCCCCTTCGCCTCCATCGGGTCGCAGTCCAGCGACTCCTCCTTCGTCTCCTCAGTCTCCAGGCGGCAGTCCGGGTGGTGGTTCTTCGGGTGGTGGTTCTCCACTCCAGCTGACTCCACCGCTATTTCCCGTCGAGGACAGCGTTCCTCACTATTCCGACCTCAGGGTCTTCACCGCAGCTGAGATCTACCCATGGGATCCGTCTGTCGTGGGGGCAGTGCCGATCATAGCTATGATCCAGGCTACCCTGACGACGCGAATGCCAATTCCTGCCAATTTCCTGTTCCCCAACCGGCTCCCGCCTGTTCGTGCTCCCCAACCCGTAGTCGGGTACTGCTCGGGGTTGATCACTGGCGCCAACGTTTTGGCTCTCCTGGCCACCGAGCCGTGGCGGGCACTTGGTCAGCGTCGCCCCACCCGCTTGACCTTTGATCACGACCTTCATCGGCGGACGGAGACCCCTCTGTGGAGGATCGCCGTTGCGTACGCGGCTCTGGAGGAAGATCACATGATCGCGTACTGGGAATCGACCCATTATCTCGAGATCACGTCTGCAATGGTCAACGCTGACACAGATCTCTTCACCTATCACGCTGACCAGCGTCTCCGACGGATGCGGGTCGGAGAGAGTTGGAGGAAGTTGTTGGGGGATATGGTGACCATGATGAAGGCCCGGTGGGTCCACATCGACCTCTTGCTCGATCCCTATTTCCTCCATCTGTCGACGAAGCAAGATCGAGTACGTTGGTACCCTGGATCGGTGTCCCGGGCGGCTAATCTCACGCAGCCGAACGCCAATATCGCCGAGCCGACTGACTTGATCACGGCTCTGTTCGAATGCGATCAAGTGGACCCCTGGAGGAATCACTTCCGTGATCGCGGTTCTGTTCATCCGTCGCGAAACATCCCTCGCCTCGTGAACAAGTTCGGTCCCCGGGCGGCTCCTCCGGCGGCACCTCCGGCTGCCACTCCGGCTGCCCCTCCGGCGACCCCATGATCCCCAATCTGGCTTCCCCTCCTAGCCCGCTTCTGAGATCCCCGATTTCTCCCCCAACATCCCGCTTCGTCCTGGTCGATCTCGTAATTTCCTAATTCAGCCACATCTTCTGCTCGTTTGTTCGGTTTGTTACCATTCGCAAGTGATCTCTCTTCTTGATCGTCCTGTTTTCCGTGATCTCTTGCGATGGCCTCAGATACATACATACAACATGAATTTCCGATCTCGGTCCTTCCGACCGATATTCCCTCGGGGCCGAGGCGATCGGGTAACCTCCCCCGCACTCCTTACATCTCTTCATGTGATTGCATCACATTGAAGCGATTCCGATTAGCCCATTCTCGCAGGAAGGCGTTCAATATTGCCCCGCAATTAAGATCGGCTTCGTCGACCCAGCTTGGCTCATCGTACCCCGTCCAGTGAACCAGAAACTCCCGGTAGATCCGCCCAAATCGGGACTTCTTTCCACTCCGTACATCTGAAATTCGCTCGACTTCATACTCATCAGCACCCAGATCTGGAACCCAGCTGTCCTCTGGAAGCAAGATCTCATCAAAATCGAGGCGATCCGCCTCTTTAACCGTGGGCTCCACGTGTGGTCGATCCGGAAAGTCCTTGACCAATTTTAACTTCGACACATGTACCACTGGGAAGATCTGGTACCCTGTGCCTGCGATCTCGAGCTTGACGCTGAATTCGTTGATCTTTTCGGCGACCCGGAACGGCCCGTGCCATA